TCAGATGGTAGGGAAGTAGCAGTTAAGAAACTGGGGGACGTTTTTCAAGCCCAAGATGAGTATTCAGCAGAAATCAGCACCATAGGAAAGATCAATCACATGAATCTAGTGAGATTTTGGGGGTTTTGCTCAGAACGAAGGCATCGACTCTTGGTCTATGAGTACATCGATAACTTGTCACTCGACAAGCATCTTTTTGACTCTAATTTCCTCACATGGAAGCAAAGGTTTGCGGTGGCAATAGGGACAGCCAAAGGCTTAGCCTACCTCCACCACGAGTGTCTCGAATGGGTAATCCATTGTGATGTGAAACCCGAAAATATACTTCTAGACGGAGAATTTCAACCCAAGATTGCAGATTTCGGGTTAGCAAAACTGTCTCAGAGAGGCGGCCCTGGTTCCGAATTCACCAGAATTCGAGGGACTAAAGGCTACATGGCTCCAGAATGGGCTCTAAACCATCCGATTACAGCTAAAGTCGACGTGTATGGATATGGTGTCGTAATCTTGGAGATGGTAAGGGGAATTAGACTTTCGAATTGGGAGGTCGCTGACGAATATGAGAACGAAGCAGCACTCAAGAGTTTCGTTAGGACAGTGAAGAAAAAAATTGAGCGTGGAAGCTCCATTTGGGTGGAGAGCTTTGTTGATCCAAGATTGAAAGGGAAGTTTTACAGAAAACAGGCAGAAACATTGGTTCAAATAGGCCTTTCATGTGTACAAGAAGATAGAAACAAGCGCCCAACAATGGCTTCTGTGGTACAAACTCTGCTGGAATGTGAAGATGATACAGAACAGATTTCAGACAACTTGTAATTGCATCATTTGAGCTCTAAGTTTCTTTTTTTCATCTTCATCATTTTTTTTTAAAAATTGTAGTTAGAACTTTCTCGTAATGTGAACTCAGAACTGGACTCAAGTTTTTCCTGCCGCTTAGTTGAATAGGTTATTAAATTTTGCTGAGGAATGAACACACAAATTACAGCATCAAAGTAAATAAATTTCTTTTCTTGTCCATGTGTAATTAAGGAGAAATAATGTGAACCCAAAAAAGGACTCACGATCTTCTGCCTTTGGGTTGAACAGATCTATCAAATTCGTGCAGCAGACAAATAGAAGCTTCGCCAGAAACCGTCAATGAACAGATAAAAGATAATTAGCATGATCAGATTGCAAAAATAACCTCCTTTACATACTATGGTGTAATTTTGGTCGGCAGAGCCTTTTCTGAAGAGAATATTTTAATATAAAGAGACCCCATTTTCCTATATGAAACTGATGGCATAGTTTGTCATCATACTGAAATAGAATCGAAGATCCAAATCTCGCTACTCTTTGGACCACTTTTAAGCTTCTGGTTATTTAATTGGTTAAACATTACCCATCATATAAAGGATTTCTTTTGTAACAAAAATATCACTAGGCTTAGAATGATCCACAACTTGCTTTGAGTTCTCGAACTTTTCCCGTTTAAAATTATATTTAATTTTTGTGAAGCATTGGCAGGAATATATCAACGTAAAGAGAAATCAAGAAAATCTGGAAAAGTTAGGTACTAGTTACAATTTAGTTTATCGCGCTCAAGAATGACATGCCATTTTATGACGGAGCCGAGTTGACGTGATAATAATAAGGACAAAAGGCAAGGGTAACAAAGAAGTCATGAGTCTATTTCTTGACGTTAAATAAATCACTAGTGATAGATAATATTATTTTGTTATTATTTGATGCATTAAATCAGATTTTGCCTTGAACACAGAATTTGTTGGGCTATTCTTGGTTCATATATCATTTTGTATAACAGCGAATAGTTAATTCAAGATTTTTCTTAGTTTACAAGTTGAATTTTCAAGGTCCTTTGTGTAATTGTGTAAAATTTTTGTTAATCTTTAAACTTGTCTTTTTCAACACAATTCCAATACATACCTGCTAAACTTAGCTAAATTTTTTAAACTCATTAAATTTTAATTTTAACCACATATTAGCCCCCATTTGGCCCCCCATTAAATTCCATTACATTTTTCTTTCTTCTATTTTTAACCAAATAATCTTTTCATAAAATAATATTACATGTAAATAAAAAAAATTTCCTTTTTTTTAACCGCTCATTTAAAAAAAAAAATACTATTCCACTCATTTTCATTTTTCGAAAATGGGGGTCAAACAGGGGCTTAATAGAGCTTACAACTTTCATAAATTTTTCTATATACTAGTCTTCGTCTCGTGCATTGCACTATTTATTGTGTTATTATTAGTGTGGAATGTGTAGAATATAGAAAAAGTTTTTGAAATTTTTGAAAATGTAGACAACTTTGAAGAATAATAAATGGTATAAAATATTAATTAAATGTCTTGTTATTTTTAAAATAGAACGATTGCCAATTAAAGACATAGCTGAACCCTATTCATATAGCATACAATTTACAGTTACATTCACATTTACTTTAATTTAACCAAATATATATATAAAAGTATACGTCAAATCTGTGCCCCATTATTCAAAAGATTACAAAATAACTCTGACTCATGGAGTCACGAGCACACAGTTGCAGTTCAAAAAGTCAAAAAAGCAATAAAAAAATATTCACTGTCTTTCAATACTTGATCCCACAGCATCAATTATCATTGAGACAGATGCCTCGAATTTTGGATATGGTGGTGTGTTAAAGCAAATCCCACTAGAATCATCTCAAGAACAGTTAGTTAGGTACCAAAGGGGTGTGTGGACCGGCCCTCAAAAGAATTACTCCACTATCAAAAAAGAAATTATTTCAATAGTCTTGTGTATTTCAAAATTTTAAGACAATCTTATCAACAAAAATTTTATTTTGAAAACAGATTGCAAAGTCTCAAAAGATGTTTTACAAAAAAAATGTAAAAAATCAATTTGCCTTCAATATGAAAGTTTCCTAGATTTTTTGTTGGGATTTCTTTCTACTGTAGAATCAAAATGATGAATACTTCACTTAAGAGATTACCAGAAGATTCAAAGTCAAATGGTGGTCTAAATTCAAAGAAACAAATTGTTGTCCAAAAACGGTTCAATCATGGATTCAAGAACAAAGAAATTTGGGTGTTCCGAAATTCTCAAAAAAAGAACAAGATGATCAAGCAGATTTTCTGACTGAAAAACAAAGGATTATTTCAATGTTACCAAAATGCAAAGATCCAAAAGAATTATTAGAAATTTATTAACATATTTCTAATATTGGATCTAAAAAATCAAGTACTCAAGAATCTGATCAAAAATCTCAAGAAACAGACAATGGTGATAACCTAATTGATTTAGGTTATGATGTCTTTCTTGCTCAAGAAATAAGGATCAAATGACTACAAGAACCCAGTTTTCACGAAGAATTGAGAAATTACAGGATTAATAAATCAAGGGAAATTCTTTTCAAATGTTGCATGCCAGCTAATCAGCTTTTTCTCAAGAGATTACCATCTATTCCAAGAAAAAGATAACTTTATTAAACTAGGAATCTTTCTTTTTAAAGTTAGTCAAAAAAATGGCTCAATTATTCAAAAGTGGGTTTCATATTTCAAGATTCTTCATTATGTTGTCTCCCACTCAACTATTCAAGATTCTTTCTGGCAAACGAAAGAAATTTCAAGTCCGGATTTCAAGTATAAGAAGACTTCAAGAGTTCATTCCAAGGAAGAGCAAATTTGGCAATAGAAGTTTATTTTCTCTTGTTATTTTTGTTCTCTAAAAAATTACTCTTTAATTTTTCAAATTCTGTAATCATTCAATAATCAATAAAATTTCTCTTTTCAAATATTTCTATTCTTAATTTGGATATTATTTTTTTTTTAATTTTCTGATTTCCTTTCCCCTGGGCTATTTTGGTATCAGAGCCATAAGAGAGTAATGTGATATTATTGTCAAACAATGTAGGCACAATATATTTAGGAAAACATTGTTCAAACCTGGACGTCTGCTGTTAAGCGTTGGTCAGCCCGTATTGCCGGTGTAGGCGTTGAAGGGTGGTCCCGTTGTAGGCTTGGTGAGAACCTATTTATTTCTATTTTTGTCTACATGGTAGTTTCACGTGCAAAATATACCAAAAAAGCAATTATGGATCGAAATGCATAGCAAAAACTTCAGCGGCTAGTTTCTTCCTCCAACTGTCGATCATAGTATCGGACATAAGTTTCACGTCTAATCCCATCGATAAAAACTCTATGAACTTGATAACGTATATCCCACAATCTCCCCTGTGAATATATATTTGTCATAATAAATATATGCACTCTCAAAATAAGTGAAAATCTAAAAATTTTTAAAGATATATTATTTACGCATTGTTTTGTTGTGGAACGTCTGTATGTCGACGCTATAGAAACTGCTTGTGTGGGTAGTTTTCCCCGAATAACAATCTTTCCTTCATCATTCTAGGAATCACCTTCACAATTGGATGCATGATTTTTTACAATTTTTCAAAACGAGTCAAACTCTTCATGCTGTCATATAATGCTGTTATATACATATATAGTTCGTTCGGCAAAGTCCACTTTAAGTGCAATCCAGTGTTTCATTTCCACATTGCAGGGAATATATAACGATGTACAAGAATCCCATCGCTTGCTCCATTCTGGATTTTTACCATATATATATATCTTGTCATATTTTTCATCCATTTAAAGTTTTCTACTGGATTTTTTTCTTTCTTATGCAGCTCAAAATCTTCAAACCTCTTGGTGCACATGTTAGTAAAAGCACAATCCAAAATTGCACAATCTTGTGGGAACACAGTAGGATATGTATGTATTCGTGCCCTCATCAACAACAACGCTATGTCAATGTACTACAGATGTATAAAGCCGTTTAAGAATGAAAAGAAGTATGAGAAAAATATAGAATGCTAAAGTACTTACATCACTATCGAGCCATCCAAATTGCTTCTGAATTTCAAGAAAGAAACTTTTTGGCTTCGTGAACATCATCATGTCCACATGTTCACTGCATAAAACAAATAACATAAGAGCATATATTACAACTTCACAAAAATAATTAATGTAAGAATAGTTACCTGTCAGGTGCATTAACCAACCAATTCTGTAAGTCATCTGCCTTAGCCGGATCTAGCTCTCGAAATGGGTCAAATGCTTTTACATTGTGAAGCTTCCTCCTCTTCTCCGGATTTGTGAACGAAGATTCAAGAACAAGTGACCTTTTCTTGATTCTCATCCCGCGCCCAATCTGACTTGACTTATCAGACTCATCTTCCACCACTATAGGGATGGACTCCATTACATCACCATGTGCTATAGAATCCATCGGTACACAGGTATCTCTCTCTTCCACATGAGTTTCATCATCATTCGGCAAATCTGTTGCTTGCCTTTGCTCATTTTCCACTTCAATGGGATTTGGACAGTTATTCATATCATCTGCTTGTTTTTGTTCATTGCCATCTACGGGCAACGTTGCTTCTTTTACAATAACTGGTTCATTCGCCAACACATAATCTTCCACTTCTCTCTTCTCATTGTCATCTTGATTCTCATCATTTTGAACTTCTACATGTACAAGTGGATCCTCATTTACATCACATGCTTCTCCAGTATTCATAAATCCACTACGAAGAGGAGAGTGATATGTGTAAGGTGTTGTTGACGGGTTAGAATTCTTCATCCACTCCACAACAGATGATATATTCTCATCAATTTGTCTACAAAAGGATGTGACACAATCAAACCTTTGGTCTATGTAAGATCGCATCTCATCTATCCGCCCTTCATTTTTCCTCTCTAAAATCTCTACCATCTGTAGTAATTGCATTCTCAATTCCTGAGCAAACTCATCTCTAGATGGATACAGAGATGGATATGATGTAGATGGTCCTGGATGAAATGTATGAGCATCTGTAGAAGTAGGTGGCCTATGAAAAGAAGATGGATCCCGAGGAGATGTAGAGGCATTAGGAGAGTGACAAGTTTACTGAGGAAGATCAACACGAATGGACGAATTTGCTACATTCTCCTTATCCACAAAGATATCAACTGTCGAAT